CCGGTCTGTATGTGGGATCCGAACCCTCGGGCGGGAGCGCTGCCGCGCTTACCAAGCGGCGCACTTATCCAGTGCGCCACCGGGCCGGCCCAGACTTTCTTTTTTACAGTGGTTTTTAGGTTCATAGAAAAGTTGAGCAGAAAGTACAGAGTTCGCACAGACCACCTCTTGTTATTAACCTCTTGCATGCGTGGGTACTTCTGTCACAACCGATGAGCCTGTATCAACACACTGTTAGGACCTGGAGCCCCTGGTTCACTTGGGGGCTCACTCCTGATGTTGCACATTCTAAGGGTTTGGACAAATGTGTGATTTCCTGTATCCACCATTACAGTAACATACAAAATAGTTTCACCACCCTAAAATCCTCCTATGATTAGACGTGATTAGGTGAATCCATCTATTCGTCCCTCCCCCAGCCCCTCACGACCGCTGATCTTTGTACCGTCTCCATGGTTTTTCCTTTTCCAGAATGTCATAGAGTTGGAATCATACAGCCTTTTCAGACTGGCTTCTGCCCCTAAGGAATATGTATTTAAAGATTCCTCCATGTCAATTTGTGGCTTGATATCTCTGGATTTCTTTTTTATGTTTGCTGCTTGAGGGTTTTTGTTTGTTTCTTTGTTTGAAGTTTTTGATTCCTAGATATTGTGGCTTTCATCAAGTCTGGAAATTTTTTTTTTAGTTTCTCCATTTTTCCTTCTAGAACTCCAGCGAGACATGAGTCGTCTCCTAAGTTCTGTGTCTCTCAGTGTTTCTGTCATATCTCGTATCTCTTTGCATTCTGGATAATTTCTTTATTTCTGCTTCAGTCCTAATGATCTGAAGTTTAACTCGTCCATGACGTTTCCTGTTTTGACGTTTGTTTCCCTGCAAGCTCTGCTCGGTTCCCTTTCAGACCTGCCAGTTCTTTTAGACTTGCGCCTATTCCTTGGTCGTGTTTGCAATCCCTTCTTAGAAATCTTTAAACAGGTCCGGCCCAGTGGCGCAATCGGTAGAGTGCGGCGCTTGGGAGTGCGGCGGCGCCCCCGCCGAGGGTTCGGATCCCATATAGAGACCGGTCCACTCACTGGTTGAGTGCGGTGTGG